CCCCCCCCCAATCGTCAAACCGGGTCTTTCGGCCGTCGCAGTCCCACACGGCGAACGCCTTTCTTGCGCTAGGCCGCCGAAGAGGGAAGTAAATAGACTAGTAAGGAGGAGAGTGTTTCTAAGGAAGCGAAGCCGCATGTAGTTATCGGTATTACAATAGATTCGACCGATACGTCACAAACAACCTATCCGTTCAGGGCTACCCCGCCCGCCCGGTCGGCTCCTGGCCGGTGAACGATACAGCGGGGACCCCTGTGCAAAACATCAAAAGCCCTCGCCGCTCCACAGCCCCCACCCACGGCTCTGCTCCTCACAGGCACGCACCAACATACACCCACCACTGGTTACTGTTGCACTAGTTTTGAGGGAAAACAAGAAAACGGCTCGACTTTCGACCCTATCAACATCCAATACTCAAAACAGCACGACACTTAAAAACAGAACGTCATGTACTGCGGGCCAAAAAAACGGAGCAGAAAAAAAGACCGGCAGTTCGTCCCCCCCCCCACCCTCCCATACCACATAGACAAAAGCAAAGAAAACGGAAAAATGTGGAGAGCGCAAACTTTTCCCACACTATCGTGGTACTTCATGTGTTTCATTTCCCTTCCAACGCAAGAAAAACGAACAGTCGTCAACAGGAAAACAGTGGTTGTTCTTGAGTGAAAAAACGGGTCACGTTGCCCAGCTACACAAAGAGTACTCTCGGCCCCCCCCCGCCCCCAAGCAAGAATTCTACATCGCCCTGACCACAGACAGACAGACAGAGATACACGACAGACAGACAGATAGACAAGCTAGATGGATAGACAGACAAGCAAGACAGACGTGCAGACAGACAAGCCGGACTATAACACAGAACGAGGCAAGCAAAGGAGCCGAGAACACTACGAGAGAGACGAGGTAATCAAGTGCCACTCGTAATACAGGATGACCTATACTACAGAGGATGAGGCGGCGCTATACCGTTGTATTGAAAAATTGAATAGACACCATACCCACCCACCCCCCCAACCCGGGGGGAGGAGCATTTGCGGGGACCCTTACCATCCGCTCAACCAACAAACACTTATCAACAGATACCAAAAATGGCGTCGACAAAATCAAGTTGAGAGCTGGGGGCATCGAACACTCAAGAGCAAAACTTGAAAAAACACTTTCCCTGGGTGGTCGCCTCCTGCAACCCCCACCTACCGCCGTATTCCATTCCACGGGGCTCCTCCCTCGACTCCGTCCTTGCCTACTCAAGCCCGTTCACGACACAGCCAGCCGTCTGTTTTTCGGAAAGGCACTCTTCCACCGCAATAAGAACAGCAACAATCAAGGAGGGAAAACAATCTGAGATGGTACCCTCCACATACATCAAGCTCCGCGCCCCCGATTCACACAGCAGGACCCTTGTGACGGCGAGAAGCGAGGCCAACAAGAGGGCAGCAGAACAAACAAAAAGAGACATGCATGAGTAAACACAAAACCGGGAGGCAGTGGGGAAAACAAACCAGACTTAGCCTTAACCCTCCTCCCAGCTCCTTGTCCTCCAAGAAAACTACATATATACCACCATAATAGTTT